AACAAAATACCATCTGCACGCAGGACTTATCGTCTATTGTTTTCATGTCCAGTCCATGCAATCAGTCGCTGCCTGCTCAGAAAGCCGCCATGTAATTCACGAGGGAAACATTGGTTTGTTTCCCTTAATTATATCAAATTGAAATCATGTGGATATTTGTACTGTGTAATACCGTCATTGTCAGATATAGCCTACATGACGGGTCGGAAACTTTCTGCTCCCGAAAAGTTCTAAGTGCTGGGTTATAACGCCATATATTCCGTTGAAAATTAAATGACGTTTCGAGAGATCATGTCGCCTACATCTTCAGGGTTGAATAAGCCAAACAAGAAGCCTCTACTTGTCACCTGTTTTCACACTGGTTTCCAGTTTGTCTTAATTTTCGGCCAGGAAGATGGAGGCGATATATTCCTCCGAAACGTCGGTTTGACTTTCAGTGGACTATACGGCGTTATATCCTAAAAGACAGAACTCTTCGGAAAATAAAATGTTTGTACAATGAATCAACTAGCAAACTTTCGGACTGTCTTTTTTATACCGTGGGATATAGGACGTTATGAAACAAGGAAGGAAACATGAAACACGAGTAAAGTACGAAATTTTCGAAGAACCACATTCTTTTTCTGTTACTTTCGTCAGACGCTGTACCTTCAGTTAGCCGCTGAAGAGCTTCTGTAATTGTCTCGTGCCCTCTAAATGACGTCTGAATTTGTGAATAGTGTTAATGAAACGAATTCTGAGTAACACTGCACAATTAAGGAAACTGTCTCACTTAGATAAATCCTTGTTCCAGGATTATAAAAAGAAAATTACTAGTGTTTACTAAACATATAACTTACGTCCCTTTACATATAAATCTACATTTTGCAAATTACGATTGGTTGGTTGAGGCACTATGCTACAAGCCGGAAGGTAGCGGGTTCGATTCCCGATATGGTCATTAGATTTTTAATTGAATTAACCCTTCCAACCACACTGTAGCCCTGGGGTCGACTTAGCCTCTAACAGAAGTGAGTACCAGGAATCTTCCTGGGGGGGGGGTAAAGTGCGGCCGGAGCGTAAGGCTGACGTCACCCTCATCTGTCAGTGGTTTTGTAGAAATGTGTTAGAGGCTCAGTCAACTCCGGGGCCGTAGTGCGGCTGGATGAATTAAATCAATTGAAAAAAAAACACATCGGGACTCGAACCCGCGACCTTTCGGCTTGTAGTATAGTACCTCAAGCAACTACGCTACCGCGTGCCCCCACAACTTTACATACACTTTCCAAATATATGTTAAATGTATGTATACAGTGTTTTGTAAATAATTACCAAACTGACTGGCATGTTTATACCCAAGTCACGAAGAAAACTCGGAAAGGAATTCTTTCGTTTTGCTATATGCCGATATATATATATATCTTGACGTAATAAAACTTATATTTGTCACTAAGAACCTGGAAACGAAAGCAGTTAAAATTCTGCTTAAAAAAGGAATTTATAAGTGGAAAATTTTCTCCTTGCGGAGGAAATGTAACATTTCCGAGAAATTTCTGGTAATGTATATGAAACAGTATAACGTTCCAATGCTTGTCAGGCTTTCTTCGAACCGAGGAGTAGCGTGTTTAGCAGTTAACGCTGAAAATACTCCTTTCAGTAGATTGGTGAAACCCCAGCGGCGATTCAGTTCAGAACCCATACCAACACAATAGGAGGGAGAAATGGTGAGAGAGGGGGGTATTTACTCTTCAGTTTCCAAGAAACACTTTGTGCCATAAATCAACAGGGATATTGTTACATATATCTTTATTTTTGAATGCTGCATGATGCTATCATTTTTAATAACGCTTACATTTATCTGCTCCCTGTATGGAGGCGGCTTAGAATACCTCCACGGCAGCGCAGCGAGTTATAGAAGGCAATGGAAAGGGAGTCTGGTGCCTGGGTTTATAACCGGATCACTCTGTTACTGGGGGACATAAATATTAGAGACCTGGTTCTCCAAGTTGGGAGTTGGCCGCAAGGCTGACGACCTTGCCCTGGCAAAGAATTGTTGTGTCGGAATCCAAAGAAGTGAAAACCAGATCAAATTTGGTAAAATTTTGTAACGAAATGTATTGCTCAAAATTTGCTCTTTTGCTCCTGGTGCTGCTGATGATGAACTCTCTACTCTGTATATAATAAGAGCCAACTACTATACATTATGATAGTTCCTGATGCCAATCATTCTGAGTATTTGAGGTTTACACAATTTGTGGCCGTGCCATAGCTCAGGCGGTTCAGGTTTGAGCCCAGGTCAGATCATGTGGGATTTGTGGCGGACATAATGGCACTGGGGCAAATTTTCTCCGAGTTCTTCGGTTTCCCCTGCCAATTGTTATTCAGCCGACTGCTCCACATTCATCATCTACAATCTGGGAGTGGTGCAATAAGCCAATTAGTGGCTGACGTACAAAGTGGGCTCAGTCTCACCTCACCCCTAGAAACTAAAAAATCTTATAGAGTTGGTGCCAATATTCGTGATGGGGTTGTGGGTGGGCTTGGGGTAGCATTAAGTCACGGAGTTTGGTGAAGTTAACTGAACTGGACACTTCTTTAAATTTTCTGATACATATTTTAACTGCACGAACGTTTTACTGAGCATGTTCTCGTATACGTGGAATTTCCGACGCAGTGTAACGGAATCAAGTGCATTTTCGTTTTGTATACGTTATTCACCCTGTAACGCCGTTATGACGCTGGGCACTAAGCGCTGTTTCCGTGAGTATAACCAACTTCGTGACGTCACTGCCAATGTGTAATGAAATTACTGTCTTATTTGTGTTTCCGGTGATACTGAAGGTGAAGCCCATTACATCCCCATCGCAACGCAATACCGAGACGTACTAAGCGCTGCCTTGTTTATTCTTTCATAATTGCAATAAAGATTATCTCAGTGTTCTGCAAATTTCACTGCACATTTCGCCTGCTATTGTATTGGCTGTTTCGATCCCCATTATGGTTATGTACGTCAGCGATTTTGAAATCATATTGCTATTGGCTGTAATAAAGAGTAACCGAGGGGGGATGATAGCTTATATCGGGTACTATTGTATCACAATATTACATTTCAGCATCCTGTTTTTTTAATTCGCTTAGTGGGGGGTGGATTCCAACAGGGTCCACTCTGAACGGCGGCCACTGTTTGGTCTATTGTAGCGTGCCCCGGGTGATTATGATGATGGAGAATTTGGTGGAATGAAGATTGCCAGGGGAAACCGAAGTACTCGGAGAAAACCTGCCCCAGCGCCACTTTGTCCACCACAAATCCTACTTGACCAGACCCCGGGATCGAACCCGGGCCGCCACGGTGGGAAGCCAACGACTAACCGCTTGAGCTATGGCGTGGCTTCAGCATCCTGTTGCGCTGTGTAGATCTGACTTAGGGGGTTTCTGCGCCGTCTAAGTGCAACGCCGTTTGTTGCTCCTTTATTGGACACAATTTCACTACATGTTTCGGCTTAACTGGTCATCTTCAGGTATACAGTTGTAGTTAAGGCTTCTGCTGCTCATTGTAATGTCTGTTATGCCGAAACATGCAGTGAAATAGTCCAATAAAAGAACAGCGAACCACGGCTCAGAAATTCGTAAGTCAGACTCTTGTTTCAGATTAAGCCTATCGCTCGAACCCTGGGATCGTGGATTCGAATCTGTGTGCGTTTATTCTGTGTTTGCGTTGTTCTGCGTGTAGGTAGAGGTCTTTCGACGGGCAGATCCCCGTCCAAGGAGCATAGGATCAAGAAAGTGAAAAAGCGACAAGGCCCAACAAAGGACTGTAGAGCCTCAGTATTATTGTTTCAGACTGTTTAAAAATGTGAGTGATATACTTGTATTCAGGTTGGTGATATGCAAAGTATACAGATTTTTATTCCTCCGGCTTGGAAATACGGACCGTATGGGCTAGAGGTGGTGGAAATCAGATACACAGTGAGTGAGCAAATGTTTTCATCTCTTGTATAGTGCCCTGTGAACAATTTCCGTGTCGGCCATTATTGAGCAGAGCTCTAAAGAACGAACGAATTCTTGCGGAAGGAGATAGTAGTCAAAGGAAATAATGTCTCATGAGCTTATTAATTTCCCGTCTAGAAAACCGAAATTAACGGCCGTGGGGAATCGTTGCGCTGACCGCGTGACACCCTCTATCCGCACAAGTTAGCACTAACTTCGCCGACTAGCGGCGGTCGCTCGGTTGGTATAGTTCGCTTGCGGACTCAAGTCACGGAGTTTTCTTTTTGTTTTGAGCTTGTTAATTATTTCGCAAACGTTTGGAATGATTATAACAATATGAAATACTACACCATCTTGTAAATTTCTTATTTATCTATACATTTTTAAATATAATTCTGAAGTTTCTTCGAGCTGCAGACCGCATAATGAATTTTAGAATTCGCGTTTCATACTTATCTCACTCTGCATATTTCAGAACACTGGAGGGGTGGATCACACACGTTCATCAATACGTATCAGCGTCAGTATCGTGTCACGTGTGTCTTAACGGGTCGTCTAGGTATCACTTGATGAATGTCTTCTACTCCCTTTTGCCATTGGTGATCTGATATCCTTCTGGAGAATGCCGTCTTCTTGGATGTGGCGACGTGTAGATATTTTTAAACCGACGTTTCGGAGGAACGTATCGCCTCCATCTTCATGGTATAAGGAATCCGCGAGCGATGAACCAGCGTGAGCAGGTATCTACACACATTCCAGAAGACGACATTCTTCATAGGAACCGCCATGAAAACCTCAGATCTTACACGGTATCCTTCTGGATCCGTATTTATTTACAGGAAATATATTCGGCATTCTGTACGCAACATGTGAACGAAATGCTGATGCAACTTCCTACAGAATATGATTATATATTCAAGAAACGTATAAAATATTTTCAACGTCTCGAACAGCAGCCACATAGATATGAATTAAACATATGGATTAAAAGTAAATAATAATGAATATTTTAATTCGTAATAATCATTAATACAACTTAATATACATAATTATTTGCCTCAGAAATCTAATACATTTCGATCTGTTTAAGTTATAAAATTCTGTCGTATCAGGTACCGTGAGTTGCAGGCCCATCGTCTCTGTCCACGTGTCATCGCGTAAAAGTCTTCCTTAGTAGGTCGTGCCATCTGTGTATGGAGCTTGAAGATCTAATCGTCATAACGATGTCATTCAACTCCTCAGGCGCCCTGTGAGTAAGCGCTATAGGCGAGATTCTGGGCATCGAACCCAGTATCGAAACTGCGTCGAGAATCATAACCAGAAGGGTGAGCCACAATTGTCTGAGGAGGTGCAGAATCACCAGCCAACTTCCTGCATAACTGGAAGATTGCCAGAGCGAATGAAAGGACGAAAGAGCCGAAACTCAACTGCAGAGCATTCCATGCCTTGATGCCCAGGATGCCTATGAACAGGGGAATGAGGGTGAGGGCCTTCAGCAGCAGGAACACTGCAATTGGGACCAGAATCTTCTTCAGCTTTCCCTTCTTCCTCCTGCGAGCTGGAAACAGAAACATGTGCGTGTTACTAGACAGCGTTAATGTTGCAACACCACCTGCCTACTCAGGATTCACGAGCAGTTCACAAAGCATACCTTGTAATCAAATTTGATTCTTATAAAGTTATTATTATTATTATNGGAGCCCGAACCAGGGCCCGGATTTTGATGACATGTCATATTTTTTTTCCTTGTATCCTATGCGATGCTCTTAAATATATAAATCTCGGATATGAGCTGCTGGTTACAGAAATATAATTTTTATAGGTAATTTTTTTTAATTTTTCAGACATTTTTAGGTTTAAGGTCATTTTTTCATTTTGGGGGTAATTTTCTGGTAAATGTTTGGACTTTTAAGGGTATTTCTTGTCATTTTTGGCCATTTTAGGGAATTTTTCTTCATATGATTTCTGAAATGTGAATAACATG